CAAACCATTGTGTATTTAACTCAAACCATTGTGAATTTAACTCAAATTCTGCTCCAATAGGCTCCGTTCTTAACTATGGATCATCCATAAACCGGTTGTTCTTAACCCGGGGACTCCCTGTATATGCAACACTCCAAACCCCATCATAGAGTCAGATTCCAAATAGTAAAGGGAACAAAGCTGAAAAAGGATCCTGGAAACACTCGCAATGCTTGGGATGTAAATGTCATTCAATATTTTTGCTCAAATGTCACAACTGATTTTGCTCAGTGGATAAACAGACAGAGCAAAATTGGAAACATGTTAAAGAGAATACACTGGGTGTATAACAAGTAGTGAATGGAAAAAAGCAGATGACAATTAAACCTAGAGGCAGGATAGAGAAAACTTACTTGATTGGTAATACCAAAAACAATTGATGCCCTATAGTAGCAACAAATTTGAATGGACAAATAAAAATGATGGTCCTACTAATTTAGAAATGTAGTAATAAGTTGGCCATGTACAAAAACCAAATCTGGTAACAGTTATAATTCAAAAGATTGGGAAACAGAAAAAGGAAAAATGCCAGAGGCAGTTAATCAATTTTTTATAAAGTATACTCACCAAAAGTATGGTTAGCTTGACAAATCCCAAATTTTAATGTAAACTATTCCTATACTAAATAAGGAATATAAAGCAAAGAAACTCCCTTTAGCCATGATTTAGAAAGAGAAGTTCAAAGAGCAGTGTCTTTTATATCTTTTAATCAAAGTTAAAATAGGAATTATTACCTCTCCATGAATACCAGACTGGCAATCATAATAACATTGACAAACAGCAGCATACAGAGTGGCTCTCCATGTCAAATAGTGCACAGCTAAAAGTGGAATTGATGATTCCATACATACTGATGCCCACAATAAATATTCAAGCACCTATTAAAAAAAATCTGTTTATTAATCAAGCCAGATGTTTTAACAGCTATTTTATTTATTCTTTGATATTGTTAATATATGTATTTCAGGTTATGTAACACAGATCAACAAATTTTGAGTGCCTTTGGCTACCAAGCCACATTGATTCTATAAATCACATCCCTCCTTCAAGAGTTGTTTCTACCCTTGCATTCTACTTCTGAAATAGAACACAACATCACAGACAATCCCCCTTCCCGGTTTCAAGCCTAAAATTAGGGAGTAGAGTTTTTCACATAAAGTAAAGAAAGTCCTCAAGTCATATCACAAACTTCAGTTTGGAACTGCAGGGAGGGACTGAAGGCTTGCTTTATTTTTGTAATAATTAGGCTCTTGGAGTATCTAGAATACATGAGTATACTTATCCAAATTCTTCACTCTGAGTTGGTTACTGATAGTGGTAATCTTCAGCTTATCTTTGTACTTAACTAACCTCTTTATAAATACAGACAAGCTGATGCATCTTTTTTTTCTTTTTCTAATTCAGAGGCAGAGAAAGCAGAGGGGGTAGCTTGATTTTAACTCTGCACTGGTACGTGGCAAAACAAATTCCATGTTTCTGCTTAACTCTTGCTGGGGAAAGGTTGGTGATTATCATTGTCTCTTGTATCTCCTAAGTTGGGAAGGACCTTTGGTTCATCAAAATGCAGTGGTACCTCGGGTCACGAACGCTTCTGTTCACGACCAATTCGGGTCATGAACAGCACCGTTCACAAAATTTTGCTTCCGTTCGCGAACGCCGGATTGGGTGATGAACAGGATTCGCGGCCATTTTCCCTGCCATGACACATGGTCGTGGCTTCCTGTAGGGAGACTCTCCCTCCAAGCAAAAACCGCCTCCCCACCCACCTTCCTGTCCTCCACGCCAGAAGTCACGTCGAGCAAGGTTTGCGTT